GGGCCAACTACAGAGAAAGTCTGACTCATAAACTAACTAAGTACATGCTAATGATGAGCAGAGAATTTGATGATGTTAATTTTATAGCCACTGGGTCAGGGGTCCTGGTTTTAGGGCGGGGTCTGTTGCTGAGGAGAGTTGTGAGATAAGTAATTCTCTACATAGTTATGATGAGCAAGAGTACCTCTTCCAAAATCGTGAGATTCATGATTACTGGGTCAATAGTATGTTTTGTGAAAATTTGTTAGAGATTTTTTTGTTGTAATATTTTTTCTCGTTTTTAAATACAACCTATACATATAACTTTCGTAGATCAGGATCTTTGATAATAGTGCATTGTAATTCTTAAAAGGACACAATGAGTCAAAACCATGTCTTTCTTTTAAGATATCTGTAGCATACAGAGAAAGACTTATAAAAATTATGAGTATATAGCGAAGATATGACAATTAAACTGCAAGAATAGACTGCACAATATAAGTGCCGGTGTAAAAACGAAGAATGACCCCCATCGAATAATGACCGGGGGTCATTTTTCGATTGCGAAAAATGACCCCCGGTCATTATTCTACGTAGAAAAATGACCCTTTTGCCCGTAGAAAAGGTGGCACCACCCTACACATTTGCAGAACCCACGTGAAGAAAAATGACTCCCTGTGGATTAAAGCTGAAATTTTTAGGGGGCCAAAAAAAAAAAAAAGAGAGATAAAGAAGCATATTGGCCAAAATGCTCACCTGAGCTTATTTGGAATAAATTGATGATATGTTGATCTTATAACATACGATTTTGGCTTTATTTTAAGGTCAATGCGATGATTCAGAATCTAAAGGAGTAAAGATTTATCGAGCCTAAAGGGTTATGTAAACATTGTTTTTCGATGGTGGAAATCATCGTACTGACAGAAAAAAATCAACAGTATCATATATCATTATATCCTCCGCTTGAAAAGCGGGAGGGTATATAGTGATCGGGATGTCCGTCCGTCCGTCTGTTACTCTTTGAGGTATCCGTCTGTTATCCACAACTCCTCTTATATATAAAAAGATGTGTTTGTGAAACAGCTATGCCCCTGTATGGCAACATAGCGAAGATTAAACTTTTCTTAATGCAATTTAAATATAATGGTACCCAAAGTAGGGTCTTCTCACAAGAAATGCAATTTCAAAATAGGAAAGCCCTAGCACCACTTGTTCAAAATTAATGGCTAAGGATAAGTGTTTGAAAGATAGGTCAAAATCAAAGGTCAAAGGGTCAAAGTTGATGGTTTCTTAAGAAAGGTTTAATGTAACAAGGATTACATCTGTGAAGTATGAGAGTACTTATGTCTAGTATTTACTGTTTAAAAGTTATAGCCAAAGTAAATTAAAAATTTGGCATTTTTTTTGTAAAATGGGACAAACTCCAACGTAAAGGCCAAAAGGTCAAATTTGGTGGTACCCAAAGTAAGGTCTTGTCACAAGGAATATACACCTATTGAATATGAAAGGCATAGCTACAATAAATGAAAAAATATGGTCAAGGTTAAAGTTTTTGCGGAGAAACAGACCGCCAGATAGACAGACAGACATACAGACGGACACGATAAAACTATATACCCCCGAATCTTCGATTACAGGGACATAAAAAGAAATGTTCTTCAATTAACTTTTCATATTATGATACCGTATAAAGAAGACGTTACAAAAATGGAAATGTTTGTTCTGATTTTCATATTTAATTCTCTGAAAAATATACTCAGAACTGGGTAAAAGGGTAGAGTAATACAAGAATTAAGAAATGTAATGAATACTGTGTGCTAAATCAAAAGGTTATGTCTCCATGTATAGTTTTTGCATTAGAATGTGTATTTTACACTAGCCCACAGCTTTACAGAGCATATTTTAGGTGTTATACCGACCCCATCCCCTTAACTTATTCAGGAGAAAGTCGATTATCAAAAAGCAACAAAAAATTCTAACCTACCTTTATTTTTTTATAAGGAGGAACTAAAAATAAGCTTAAAATAATCTACTATTCTACTAATTTTCAACTGTTACTTTGCCACAATACTTTCAAGTATACCCCCACCAACATTTAAAGTATGCTTTAAACATGGCGAAGTAAATTATGATATGATAGAACATGTGTAAAGGCTTAACTTCATTTCAATATTTTATCTAGAGCCTCTTTTAGTATTATTGAAAGGTATAGAGTTTTATTTATATTTTTGCTTTTCATTAATTTTTTTGGGGGGGGGGGGGGTATTAAATATTTCCTCCTCTTTCATTGTCAAATAGGATTTGCCAAACTTATACAAGCTAAAAGTTGAAATGAAAGAAAAATTAATTTTTTCTATTAAAGAGTATTGGAACCTGATTGTTGCATGGTTTGATTTCTAAACACAAGTGGAATATCATTCTTTAAGCAAACACTATAAGGAGGAATATTAAAAAGAAATTTTATTTACTTGACATTTAAAGAATGTCTTTTCACTTTAAAGGGGGTCATTTTTCAATGGGAGTCATTTTTTATAGGACTAACATATAAAATAATGACCCCTAGGACACTTTTTCTACAAAAAATGACTTTTTTCTACGGGTAGGGGGTCATTTTTTGTCGTTGAAAAATGACCCCCGGTCATTATTCGATGGGGGTCATTATTCGTCTTTACACCGGAAAAACAAAGGTTAATTTGTATCTACCGCGTCGTTGTTTCATGTATGTCAAGGTCACACTTTTATTTTAAGCTCAAACTACAACATCAACTAGAGCATGCAAAGGTGAGAAATATGTTCTAACAACTCTTTAGATAGATTACATCAAAATTTTTGGTCTACTTACATTCATTCGTGACTACCTAAGACCATGGTAACTATGGAAACTTCTTCAACTTTTCTGCGCACGCGTACAATAGGGAGGAAGAAGTACCAGGGTATTTTGAATATTTTAGGCCTAATTCTGGGGAATACAGAAATTATTTTTACTTTTATTTTTCCCATAAAAATATAATTTTTAGATTCTGAAACCTGTAATTTTCTGAAACCTAATACTTTAAGGAATTGAACAAAATTTACATGGGTCATGCGAAAATTTTGTGAATTTTCCCCTTTGTGCCCCACTGTGCCGCATTAAAAAAGCCTATTAGATTTTGCCACAATTTTTTTTCTGTATGAAGAGTCTATGCCTTGAAGGAACCTGTATATCACGAGTTTCTAAGGTTTTGTCCAGTTTCGCCCCACTTAGAGCTGGATAAAACACAATTTGATAAAAGGTCAAATCATGATTTTTTTTCCTTCAAAAAATAATCAGCCAGAGTGCACTCCTATCATCGCGCGCTTAATGTTCAGAAATATATAGCATGTAAAGACGCGGACAGGATTATTATAAATTTTTGACGTTCAAAATAATGCAGCCAATTTTAACGATATAAATTACTTTAATTTCAATATAAATATGAAGTAATAAGCCTTTTAAAAATTGTTTAAACGGAATAAATTGAGTTCAGCGCTATTTAATTCAAATAAGAAGATACGGTTTGGGCTTTATTGTGCCCTTTAAATTTAAAGTTCTTAAAATTCATGGAATTGGCTTAAACAAGAGTTGAGTTGATGAATATAATAAATCATTAAAGAATGGGGCATGAAGGAGGACCGTTATGGAAATATGACGTCATTAATTTGACACATTTCTAAGTTTAATGCAGAAAGGCCTTAGAATGACTTATTTCTGTGCTTATTTTTCTTTAGAAAACAGTGTCTACCACCGTCACCCACTTCATTTTTTGGTGTAAACTGCTATGAAAATACTTATATCTCTTAAGTTCTTTAAGGGTATACTTGACATAGGTTAATGTAATATTATACCTGAGTAGGAAGAGAGATGTATATTACAAAAGAATCTTTAGTCAAGAATGTTCCACTTTCAAATATAAAAGACATATACTAGTAACTTGTAGGTCTGTTGTTTGATTTTTTTGTACTATTCAAAATTAGCTGTAATTCACCGTTAGCCGTCTGGTGATAAATACCGGTAAATCTCTTGCCAAGTGTCTCTGAATTCGTTCATACCTAAATTGAGTTCCTTCTTTTTAATACGAAGGAATGGATCAAGGGATATAAAAGTCAAAACCTTTTTTCTGTAATTCTTTGAGAGACGTGAAGCGAGAGTTAGATCTATGCGAACCAAATCTATCTTGAGATAATCTATTTTTGGCTCACCTGCGCCAAACACTTTTCTGATCAAAATTTGTCCGATGTCTTCGTCATCGAAAACCTTTATACATAAGTTCTTGATATTTTAGGGTGTGGCGTCATTCTATTCTTGAGATCATGATTTGAATGAACTTGAATTTACATTATCTGAATGTGCTTCAATATTAAAATAACCAATAAAAGCTTAGCTACTTTTGAGAAGATTTTTGTGTAAAATATTTGTTTCCAATAAATTTAATGAAAAACGGTGATCCTCTCTTGGACATGCCCTACACCGGGGATCAAGATTTTGAACATTTGAACCATAAAATTGAAACTTAAATAGTGTCAATGGGAAAAGGGATCAAAACTGTGGATTTCGTGACTGCCCCTCCAAAAACAGGGATGGATCCAAACAATATAACATTAAATGTTTTGAAAATTTTTATTTTTTTTTTTTTTGGTTCTGGAGATCAAGCAGTCAAGTTGAAGCATGATTGTAATAGACATTGAGACATCTACCGAAATTAGGAAAATTATGGCTCTACTGTCAGTAAGTGGTGCTAGTGTGGGGCTCCATTAATCATAAAGAGAAAGTAAAAAGATCTTCAAATTCCCCTGTGTATCATATTAGCAGAATTTTAAACAAGATTTAATTTTGGCATTATTAGCGATAGTGCTTACATTGCTAGAATTGAATTTGGGTCTCGCTAAAATTCCACGTATACGGTATTTCTCATGCAAAACAAGCCTGCATGGCCGTGACAAGGAAGGGCACCTATTTCAAAATTTTGAAATTCATCGCCCTATAGGATCAAGGGTTTTATTGTTAGGGAGGAGTTTTTAATTGTGACCATATAGTAGAAATGCATTGTTTTGATTTCTTTTCTCCCTCTCTGTTCTTTGGTATTAGCAATAAATCAAAGATCACAAAGATCACTGATAGAATAAGCCATGCTGCCTCGGTGTTAAGGCAAGGCTCTAAAAACTGAAATGATTTTATTTTTGGAAAATCTCAGCTCCTAGTCATTCAGGAGGGAAACAGAACTAGTGATGATCAAGAGCTTAGGTATTCTCACTCCTACAAGTAAGAGCCTCGTCCATTCACTCTTTATATACTCCGGTTACGCGGCGCCACGCCTCACATATCTCGTTGTGAACCTCTAGCATGCTGGAGTGAGATATATTAAACCCAGATTTGTGAAATTCTGGACATCAGGTGCTTGGTAGGGCTCTATATTAATTGATTATGAACATTTACATTATACTTCTTGTGAATTTATCAGAATTCTTGTCGTTGTACGAAATTTATACTCTACTCCCTTTGCTATTCACCCACAATAATAAATCATTATCACTGTTAATAATGTAAATGATAAGTTATTTGAAGTAAACAAATATACAAGAAATTTTAATGTTCAGTCTTTGTAATGGAAAAGTACATTCATAATTTTTACATAACTTGTATAAAAAATAAAAAAAGGAGTAGAAAATAAGACAAAGTACTTGTACGAGGGTTGTCCCAAAATTTCATAGACTGAGCTCAGACCTTTAAAAGAAATTAATGTATCTTTATAAAATTTTCAAGGTGGATAAAGCGTGTTCTTGGCAGATATTTAAAATTACGAAGTTTTATCATGTTTACTTGAAAAATTTTCGAGTAATAACATTCAAAGTGATATAGTTCTCTAACACCCGGAGCAATCTGCAACGTCAAAAAATACAAATGTCAACGATTCAAATTTTTGGAGAAAATATTTCAATTACCAGAATAAAATTCTTAATCTAAACGAAACGGTTATAGTTATAAATGTAAAATATCTTAATTACTATGATATGACCAAACATTTAAAAATACGTTAACAAAGTATATGCATGTACAGGTATGAAATAATAATAATTTGAAAACGCTATATTTCTACGGACTTTTGGTCTGCTTTCTCTAATGGAGTTGCACAGTGGAACTCTTGTCCAGTTTTTAGCCTTGTCTTTTATTTTACTTACTGTTATTCACATATACATAGAGAAACCTTTTTAGTCATTTTAAAACTAAGGACGAGAAAAAGTTTTCTGGTCTACCAAACATTTATGACTGGTACATTTCTGTGAGGGTGAATAGAGGATCAAAACACTGCACAGCCGCCATTTTTCAAAAAGTCGGATTTCAACCCCATGTATATAAAACATTATAAAAATTCATATTCATCAAAGCATAAACACCAAAATTTGAAGAAATATAGTTAATAAAACGGTATTAAGAATTTTCATTTCCATTAAAAAAATACAGGGTAGTAATTACTTTATCGTAGAAATTTAAATATAATATACTGCAACTTTTGGGTATTGCGCCACCTTCCTACACCAGCCAATGAAATGCGTCTTTTAAATTGGAATAATTTGTGTAGTTACTCCATGTTTGTCCATAAATTTATTAGATAGTGTTGGTTTCATCTATATACGAAGTTTCATTCATGAAAGACATATGTTCCTACAAAAAACGCTTGTCTACAGAATTTTGGGACAACCCTCGTACATATACCGTATTTAGTTTACAATTGCTAAAATTAGTTTATCAACTGTAACCTACAGTATGTATGACCATAATGTGTTGAGGACCAATGAGGACCAATGTTCGTGGATTATGTGAGTTTATTTAATCCACGAATTAACATTCCAAGGTCGTTAGTAATGTTATTGTATTGATTCACTGAATCTACCAATAATGTCAATTCGAAGTAAAAGTTTGCTTGTCCACGAACACTGACTCCCGCAAGTAAATATGGTTCCGCAGTATGTTATCTAATTTTTGTGAATATAATTATTTTCAAAAAAAAAAAAAATAATAATTTTAAGTCTTAAGTATTTCCTTTTGCATATTTTTCTAAACACTCGTAGAACGCTGCTTCGTACTCGAGAAACTGCACGTCGTCTCCGAGCGTGAAAGACTTGAGGTAGCTCGTGAGATATCCGATCCCGACGTTATTCTTGACGTCGACATAGGCTGTTTGTCCACCATAACCTGGATGTCCAAACGATAAATGTCCCTGTAACATAAAACGTTTATATTGCATAAGAAAAAAAATATGGGCCGAAACAAATTTTGAATAAAAATTTAAAGTGGTCTACCTGAGGAGTTGGTAAGAAAAATACACCTCGACCAACTGTTGTGTCGAGCAACCCGTCTATACTGCGTCCAGTTACTAAAGGGGTCCCAAGTAGATTAATCATCGTCGGATTTAGGAGGGTTCTGTTGTTATAGGTCCCTCCATTGGCCAAAATTCCCCAGAGCTTGGCCAATGACCGAGCATTTCCAAAACCGAGAAATGACGTCAGAGGAATTTGATTTAAATCTGGATTGTTGAAGGCAGCAAACTAAATAAAAAAGGCAATTTTTCGACAATCATGAAAAATACGAAATATAATTCGTGATTATACTTTCATGGACTTCTTTGTCGATCTGCTTTACGCACAGTATTTTTTAAAAGATATATTCATGAATTTTGAAAGCAAATACCGGTACACATCATCTCTCGCCGATAATCCAGGAGTAAATTTGAATTTGATATTTACTATTTTCATAAATTGCCCACTATTATATAATAGTTTTACCAAGTTTTTAAACAATTATCAAACTTTTCAATTCTTTATGAAAGATTAAAATCAAATTTGAATCAAACAAATTGTACTGTTGGTAGCAACACATGTTTCTTGGAATACTCCAGTACCTACAAGAATGTTTCACATAAAAACGGATATTTAAAAAAAAAATGAAATGTTTAAATTGTTACCATGATAAACTACAACGTTAAGATATATAATCGCTGTATTGATACTTAGGAAGTGAATCGAAACGTTTTTTTTTTCCTATCCATTTCTAAGAAATGTATGTTTAAATTCTTACTGTTAAATTTTTATGTATAGCTGACGCTATATCAAAAAGGAAAAATTACTAAAAAGAAACTTGTACCGAGTTAACAAATAACGGTATTGCCAACAAGAAGTCCATGGGCCACATCGCTCACGTGTGCACATGGGCTAGTTATGGGCTACACAAATCAGCTCAATATTGAAAAGTTTGAATTTTTTAATACTTGAGAATGTATGTCACTATATCAATTAAGCATACATGTATAATTTTGCAATACTTGAGAAGAATTGTTTTAAATATTTTTCCTATCCATTTCTATAAAGATTTGATTGTCCAATATGGCCCAACCTTACCCCCAGGGGTCATGATATGAAAAACTTGAATTAACTCTAACTGACGATGTTTCCATATTAATATCAACAATCATAGCTTTGCTGATCTTGAAAAGATTTTTAAAAGATTTTTCCTATGTATTCCTATGTAAAACTTTGATCAGCCATTGTGGCCCCGGCCTTATCCTCGGGGGTCATGATTTAAAAAACTTGAATCTACACTACCTGAGGATGCTTCCACATTAGTTTCATTTTTGTTGGCCAAATGCTTTTGGAGAAAAAGATTTTTAAAGATTTTCCCTATGTATTCCTATGTAAAACTTTGATCAACCATTGTGGCCCTGCCCTACCCCCCCCCCCCCCGAATCTACACTACTTGAGGAGCTTCCACATGAGTTTCATCTTCCTGGTCCAATGGTTCTGGAGAAGAGGATTTTTAGACTTTTCCTATATATTCCTATGTAAACCTTTGATCAGTCATTGTGGCCCGCCCTACCCCGGGGGCCATGCTTTGGACAAATTTGAATCTACACTACCTGACGATGCTTCGACTTGAATTTCATCTTCATCTTTCCTGGCCCAATGGTTTTGGAGAAGAAGATTTTTAAGAGATACCTTTAATTTTTCATTAATTCATAATTATCTCCCCTTGGAAGAGGGCTTGGTCCTTTATTTGAAGAACTTAAATTCCCTTCAATCAAGGATACTTTGTGGCAACTTTGGTTGAAATTGGCCCCGTGGTTCTTGAGAAGAAGATGAAAATGTGAAAAGTTTACGACGATGACAACGACAACAACGACAGACAACAAACAAATTTTGATCAGAAAAGGTCACTTGAGCCTTCGGTTCGGGTGAGTTAAAAACCATATATAAGATATATTTATGATTGTATCTTTATTGAAAATTTATTAATCCATATCCAAACAAAAGTTATTTTCACTTATATCGTTTAACCTAATAGGCATAAAAAGTGGATATATTCAAACTCAACAAGCATCCGTCAATGTCTACGCTTTAAAACAAGAGATATTTTGAGCAATGAGCTCACTAAATGATATCCTCGCCTCCCATATGGCAAAGGCCATGTTTTGCTTTGGCTGAGAAACCCAAAATATGTGTCGGATCAAAAAGTAAAATAGGAGATGCACAATGGCTATATGTTATAAAGATTCTGTGAAAGTTTCATTAAATTTCACTTAGTGGTATAAGAAGAGTTGCGGATAAGAGATGGGTACCCCAAAAGCGTAACAAACGGGCGGACATACAGCTAGACGGACGGACAGACGGATGGAGATACCAATTACTATATACCCTCCCGCTTTTCAAGCAGGGTATAAAAAAGTAATTACCGTTAGCTCCTGATTAAATCCAGAATAGCTCGCCTTTGTAAACATTGATGTAGGATTCATAAGAGTAAAGAAGATGTTGAGCTGATTCAGACTAAATGACTGTACTGTATGTTTCACAATATTGGTCAGAGTCAGCGGAACAAATCTCGAGTTACGGTGCAGCTCGCTTCTTGGCAGTCCATAGTGGATGTCAATATCTGTAAAGATTATGTATCGTTTTCATTTGTTTTAATTACTTCTTTATCAGAGAAGCAAACCTAATTCATTTTGTTTGTATGTTTGTTTGTTTAACTTCCTTTAGAGAATTTTTCACTCGTATTCAAACGCCAGTATTAGTATTGTCAATGAAAAGTGGCAAATTTTAGAATTTATACCAATACTTCGCACTCGAAACTTGAGCAGTAAGGGATCGTTTTCTTCCAACACCTACGGCAACAAGTAACAGCTTTTTAAAAAGCTTGCCTGACTCAGTCAATCAATATCTGCATGAGGAATGATAAACCTTTTGAGCAATACTTTTGTTTTTGAGAACCTTGCGTAAATGAAATCATGATTTAATTTAACTTTTAGAAGAATCATCTCTACACTGCATACTAAAGAGTGGTTAGACCTGTGTGGAAAGAAAAATCCAAGATTTTGCACTTGTTTCTTATTTATTGTGTGCATCAAAACAGAGGCATATAATTGTTCATGCATCTGGAGACCATGGCTTTGTTGAAATGCGTTGTTTATTATTATTGGACTAGTCCATTTATGGAATAAACCAACCGCGGGATCGGGAAAAAAATTAGAAAAAATCATTTCTTTTTTAGTGTTGCATGTCCGTATACTGATATATTATACCAATGCAAATCAGCTCGCACAAAATCTAGCTCTCTAGGTATGATCTATTAGTTTCGGATCTTGCAAATATCAATCCTTATACAGCCTGACGCCGTGACGTCATACAACAAGAGACCTTGGTGTATACGGTGTATCCAAGTCTCGCAATGGGACTTGAATAGCGACGTAAGGACGAAAGTCTTACTTAACGACTATTCAGTTGCGTAAATGAAACCAATGATATGACCCAGTGACTTGATAGCAATCATTCAGCATGCATCCATTGTTACATTTCATTGATTGATTGATTGACTGTATATTGATTAACGTCCCTCTCGAGAATTTTTCACTCATTTGGAGACGTCACCGTAAGCCGGTGAAGGCTTCAAATTTAGACCTTTACTCGGCACTTAGGGCCATTGAGCAGTGAGGGTTTTATTGATATTTAACATCTGTTAATGTCTATTTCCTGATTGTTTCATGTTTTTGCCGATTCCCCCAAACAAATAATCTAAAGGATATAAATATAACTGATACAGTTGATTCTTTCGGTTCTTAAAGCATCTTTAATGTTTGTCTTTTATGCTAAAGATAACTGTATCTGCGTTTTGTTTTAGACTTGATTATTTGGAAGCTTGACTTCTTCACTTGTCAGAATTTTTTTCTGTGAAGAATTGTTAATATTGATTTTCTTCCACAAAATGGCAAAAAAAAAAATCGTTTATCTTGAGGTTTCTCGGATATCAATAAAAATCAATGAAAAATAGAAAATATTCCTAAAATATATTTTCCTTGATGCAGAAAATTTTGTTTAAAGTGGTCCTTCAGATATCCGAAAGCCAGATATCCGGTTGCTTCATTATACGGACGATTTTTCATCGGAACAGAATTTTTTTTACCTTATTATGTCTTGTTTAACTGGTAATTCAGATATCCGGACAATTCACATATATCCGGAAAAAATGACTAGGAACCAAGGTGTTCGGATATATGAGGCTCCACTATACGTGATTGTGAATTCATACCAAAGCTTTTGTTTCTTCATTGTCACTTTCGATCTTAAATACTTTATTTCACACAGGTAAGAATTTGGAAAGTTAAAGGGTCTTTTAAAAAAATCCATGAATATTCTAATTCTAAATATAATGATATTTTAAAAATTTATTTCAATGAATACCATATTCTACCCTGTTCTATAATAGAAAACTCGTGGTACGGTACGTGTGAGCACTGAGCTAAGAAAATTATACCACCCTCCCCGCCTCCCATTTGAATATAATGAGGTGAAGTCAAGTTTCACTCTGGGAAACCCAAAATAAGTATCAGATCAAAATGTAAAATAGCAGGTACACAATGTAGTAAAGAATCTGAACATATAATTACACTTATTCTGTGGTATAGGAGGAATTCCAGATAAGAAATAGGTTTACCCCTCAATATTAGAGAAAGATTGGCTTTGTCAATAAGAAACCCGAAATACGTATCCGATCAAAAAAGTAAAATAGAAGGTCACAATGGCACTGTGTGACAAAGATTCTGTGAAAATCTTATGAAATGTCATTGAGTGCTCTAAGAGGACTTGTGGATAAGAGATGGGTATCCTAAAACAAACAGACGAACATCCTCATCATTATATACCCAACTGCTTTTCAAGAGAGGGGTAAAAAAATTACATTCGTCATGTAGATTACTTAAATACGAGGGCTGTTCAATAAATAATGTCCTGAACTATATGACATACATTACAGATATCATATGACAATAAACTTGACTTTCTCTCATTATTGAATCTTTCATGAATTTAAAACAGTTTATGTGACCACTTTTCATCACATAGTTTCATCGTGAGAAGCTGGGAAACAAGGGCTTTTCGAGACACTGCATTATAAATGAATGGTAAAGAATCAGTAAACTAGAGTGAAAATAAAAGCTTCATTAAAGCTGCCGTAAAACTTGTTA